GTTTTTTTTTTTTTTTACTGTAGGCGTTTTTACGCCCCTATCGACACAATTTAAATCAAGAACGAGGCGGGTTTCGACCCTACTTGTCAGGGCCAAAGGGGACTGAGAGGGATATAACGTCCCAGCAAGAAAACAGAGATACCTGATAAAAATTCTCATCACATAAGAATCAAACCCAAGTCTTCTGCGTGATACGATGAAGCATCTCATCGATACCCACAGAAGCTGGTAATTGTGAGATGAAGACAGTAACTGAGAACTGGTGGCAAGAATGTTTACAGCTGTATTATGTTATACCTATAAAATTGTATCCTTTCTTTTACGTAAGAATGAGCACGTTTAGTAAGGTTACTCGAGACCAACATTTTGAGATGCTAATAACGCTCGAACTCAGATGTAATACTTTAAAATGTAGGTGTTGTTTTTTTCCTGTGTCCCCATTTGATGCCGAATATATTATGAACAAAAATGAGTCAACATGGTAGTAATTGTTATACTTCCAGAAAAACAACAGGAAACAGAAAAATTGTTTGGATGATGATGTCGAGCGCAATAATAAGATAATTTATGCTTCCAAAACAGTGCGTTGTTCCAATTTATTCTATGTTGTACCTAAAGTGAAAACGCTGTTTCTGACACTTTCTCGGGTGTGTGCACTTTATTGTTATTCACATTTGCTAAAACTACATACTTTTTTGTATATTTCAGTTAGAGAACACGTCAACATTCAGTCTTTGTGATTTGGAGGTTTCTGACTTGTATCATGTCTCTTCAAGGTGGGTCTTTCCAAAACTTGGAAGAAAATTCTCTACACCACAATGGAATTTTCATGTTGAATTTAATAAAAAGAAAAAGAAACAAGACACTGATGAAATAGTGCATTTTCCTGTCTATCATAGTATACGTGACCTTTTAAGAGGCAATTACTCAGCCTTAGAAATCTCTATTGCTCTTTCACTCACTCACTAACTCTCCTGCTTCCTCCATACCTCTGATTTTCTCGTAATGTAGATAATAGTTCGAATAAATTCAATTTTGATCTCCCATGTCAAACATCTTTGTTTTTTTAATGTAGCCAGAAAAAAAAAGAAAAGAAAAAAAAGAAGCCACAAGAGATTGGAACATTATCCATCAGATGTCTGCTAACTACAAATACATTTTTGTATTTGAAAAAAGCTTTTTCTCCCAGTCATCATTTCATTTTCAAGAAAGTCGTTTCACTGTAAACAGTACCTGCTCAATGTTATGTGTTCAGCTATCTGTGATTAGATACCAGGAAAAAATGTTGTTGGTTGTCTCCTAGAAATTAGAACTTTGTCTCTCAAGCAAACAAAACTTTTGTGTACCACAGAGAGAAAAAGAAGAGAGATGAAATAAGAAGGCCAACAATATA